GGGGGGGGGGGGGGGGGGGGGGGGGGGGGGGGGGGGGGGGGGGGGGGGGGGGGGGGGGGGGGGGGGGGGGGGGGGGGGGGGTACGCGACTGGCAATAATAGGACTCCGAAGCTTCGAGACCGAACTGTCAACAACGCCAACGCCATAACGCAAACAACAGAAAACGCCAGGCTGAAGCCTTCAGAATTCAACGCGGGGCTACCACCACCAGACAGCGGTAACGGACGGTAACCTTGGGGTGCGTCCCGGTCAAGATGGCGTGCTGCTCCGCCGGCAGTCCGAACGAGTCCCAGCCCATGGGGTGGAGGACGTCGAACCCTTTCATTCGCCAGTACCTGACGACGCAACAAAGCACCGACAACAGCAGGACATTGTTGATTCTTCACCGAATAACGCGGTTGTACATAAGAGTACAGGTACCTAGCTGCTGTGCAGATTGCCTCGCGCACAAGACGTTGTAGGGAAAGGGGCGCTCCTTTACGCGAGTACAATCCTGGCTTACGAACATCCGTGCTTGACACAAGCACGCAGGGGCTTGGGGGCAAAGAGCTCAGATAGTAAGACAACCATCGGGGGGGAGACCGAAGATACGCGACGAAGCGTGTGCTTCAATTCACGCCCTTGCTGTTGTCGGTGAGGTGAGTATGCGTCAAAGCCGCGGACGCCTCTCTCTCTCTCTCTCTCTCTCTCTCTCTCTGTCTCGAGTTGAACATGCAAGAACGTTAGCAAACATGCTGCCAACACCCGTGTGTTGTTTGGCATCACCACAGCATATGTTCCCGAACATGGCCTGCCGCATCCTAACGATTGCATAAACCGGCTCGTACCACGGCCAAGCATATACCTCACGGAACCCTCTCGCTTGTACATCCACATATGCATGATCGCCGTTATGCTGTTACTGTACCTGGCCATGACGTCAGTCGCGGTGTATCCCTCGGGGTGGCCAACATGCAGGCCGGAGCCGGACGGATACGGGAACATGTCCAGCACGAACTTCTTTGGCCTGCCCTCCGTCCTCTCGGGCGTCTTGAACGTGCCTTTCTCCTCCCAGTGCTGTTGCCAGCGCGCCTCTATCGCCTTGTGGTCGTATAGCTTGGAGCCTACGGCTGCCGCTGCCTCGGGAGCAGCGCTAGCCATGCCCATGCTACGGCCTTTCGACAACGCTGCAGTGCTAGGTGCTGCTGTTCTAGACCTTAGGTATGGACCGACCCGCGCCGTCAAGGCACTGCTACTACGTATGGCGGCGCGCTGGGCGAAGCGTCCACGCGTCGCTGCGAGCATCATCATGCTGCTGCTGCAGCTGCAGCTGCTGTTGCTACTGCAACGACCTGCTCCGTTCAACACGAATCCCCTGGAGCGGGCCAGCAAGCAGCACGATAGCAGCCCTCCGAACAGTAGCTGCGCAAGTCTGGAGTTCGATGCTCGGCCTTCCCTGCACCCTGCTGTAGTGGGAGCCATCTCCGTATACAGCACGCCGGCGGAGGAGCAGCTTGCTCTCGCTCGGGTCTGCTGTACTGCAGGCTGAGCGGCAGCGGGACGCGCCTACCCCACAATAATCGTAAATGCCTGTCGCGGAGCCCCTAAAAGAGCGAGTGTGATTTGCTGCTTGTACTGGCTCTGTGCTTTAGTTGCTGTGGTGCCTTGGCTAGCGTAGAGTAGTGGGTTGGGACGGGTGGACCTTTCCTACGCGTTGGCGTATTGTCCAACATGAAGACCGCTGGCGATCCTCCAGATGTTTTGAACGCCTGTGTGGTCTGTGAACGGGCGACGGTCGGGTTCTCTTGCAAGGTTTGCAACATGTTTTTCTACTGCTCAAAAGGTAAGCCAGCAGGAGCAGCGGAGATAAAGTGTTCTACAGCTCAAATCCCCGAGGTGCATGTACCGTTCATTGCCATCCCACCAATTTCGGATAACATTTGTGAGGGTGGGGACGCGAAAGCCACGCGATTGTTGTCGTGTCCTTCGGGGGGGGTCCCAAAGGTAAAGTTCACATAGGCAGGTATCGCATAGCTTCTGGAAGTGCATACTGCTGTGACACTTGTGCAGTTTGAAAATCTGCGATACAGCAGTAGTAACAGGGTTGGAACCGGTATCCACCACACCAGCAGCTGTTGGGCATGAAGGCAGGCCCAGTTACCCACAGCGTATGTGCGTGCTGCTTGCCCAGCCTGCTGACTCTCCGAGTGTACTCTCCGAGCAGATTGACCACCTACATGTTTCTCCGCACCACACATTTAGACTAGTCTATCGACCGCGGCGGCGGTGTATCCTTTTCGCAGGTGCCTCTCACCTCGCACTGCTCCGTTGTTGTACCGTTACACCAAGCGCTGCTCTGGGATCAACTGGCGTGGGAGGGCCACGCGTATCCAACGGCAACCACCCGATGGAGTCAGGATGATTGAGTGTGTGTGCGACTTGCAAGCAATATTGCCACCCTAGGATCCTTACATGAGCGCCGAAGGGGAGATCGGATTCATATGCAGCTGTAGCTGTGATACGTGCTGGATTCGTCGCAATAGACCACACACGGTGGTTGTCGTACAGCAGTACGGTAGACGGGACGCACTGAATAACACACCGTGGCAGCAGTTCATTGCAATGTATACGCTCGAAAACACGTATTCGTGGATATTTCGCCATCCTGTAACACCGCGTGTTAGGCAGACGGCTGCTAACCAACGTCAACGCTAAGGCATCCATCGCGATTGCGTCAAGCATGTGATCTACAATCAGCCAGCATTGATATAGATGAGGTACCCCGGCACAGCAGGCATACAGGACGACAGCAGCAGCAGCAGCAGCAGCAGCAGCAGCAGCTGCAGCAGCAGCAGTTCCACGTCGCTCTGCTGCATGCAAGACTCTCGGCTTTCGCCCACGGCGGTGGGTCGCCAATAATAGTATCAGAATACCCGGCGTTGTACAGGTAGAGGCAGAAGTTTGCGCCGACGCAGGGGCGGGCTCCCGAGACAGATGGTACGAAACCATTCAGCAACTTTCTGATGATATAATGGTCTTTATCTGGGCCACTTGGCTGCCTCTCACAACACGAGATCGAAAGTCTCTCGCTGCCCGTGAAGGAATTGGGAAAATGCGATGGTTTCATCGATTACAGTAGTAGAGCCTAACAAGTCGATACCACGTGGTTGCCCTGGCGTGCGATGCATTGCCACGTGTTTCGTCAGCCTGCTGCAAAATGGATATTAAGAAGCACAAGCAAGTCTGTTCCAAGCTCGTGCTCTGGTTGCGCAAACCGTCTCTCGGGGGCGGCATGTCCACACAAGAAATGATGCTCTACGCCAAACATTTGAAGTACATGGTGAGCGTTGGCGAGGGGTACATACAAGCTTTTCTCTGTCAGCCTCATTTTCTCGTGCCCGCGTGCATGCGGTTGTCGTTCATATGGCGTCTTGCTGGTCCGTCTGATGGGCCTTGGTGTCGCGGTGGGGAGAAGGTGACTAGCTCTTACGAGCTGCTGGGTCTCGTTTGCTATTGGCTGATGTCACCAACGAAACACGTTTACGTTTGCCTGGAGTTTCGTTTTTTTCTCATCCATGTTGCTGCTAGCTGTATAGCAGTAGTACGATCGAGAGCGTGCCGCCGGCTTCTTTCTTCGTTCCGCAGCGCCCACCTCCCTGTTTTGTTCGGTCGTTGCCTCTAAAAGAGCGCCAGGGTCAGCAAAAGCACAGAAGAAAGAGCCGAAAGCAAGGCGAGCATTCAGAGCGTCCTTGGCGGGATGAAGGCAGCACAAGCGGAAAAGGACGCCGCTCGCCAGCTGCAGGAACAAGCGAAGGAAGCCCGCGCCGCCGCCAAAACGGCCGTGGCGACCGCCGCCCGGAGCCTCAACCCCAAGAGGTATGGTGATGCGGATTACTGGGAAGAGCGACACGCCAAGAGCAGAGCGAGCGGCGAGACGTTCGAGTGGTACACCGGCTATCCGGATGAAGCTCTGCAGAAGGTGACCTGTTGTAGGTCGTTCTTTGGTATTCGCAACGAACCACGGCATGTGGTGGCGCGGCGATTCGATGAGTTCCCGTCCGGGGCTGGAGACCCATCGCGTACACAGATTATGGCAGCAGCAGCAGCAGCAGCGGTGCTAATTTACGACAGTGATTCATCAGCCATATTTCTCGCGGTGTGCTCCTCTATGTAGATCTTTTCCTTTTTTTTTTCACCACGCCGCCCGACTTCCTTCATATCGCCGCCGCTGCCTCCTATCTTGGTTGTTTCTGGGCATTTTTTTTTTGTGTGTGTTGAATCCGGCAGGCGTTTCCGCAATCTGTCCGCGGCAAGAAGACGCTCGTCATCGGCTGCGGCACCTCTGTGCTGTCAGAAAAGATGAGCGACGACGGCTTTCGCGACGTTTTGAGCATCGACACGTCCAAGAACGCAGTGGAGCAGATGACGGCCAGAGCGAAACCGTTCAACAACGCCAACACCAAGTGCAGGTGGGGTGCTGACGTCCTTAACCTTGTTTTTTGCAAGGGTTTAGTTTACCGCCAAGGAGAGGAAATAAAATATATATTCCCGTAGTTATGTTCTCCTATTTTTGTCGATGCTGAAAGAGTGCGGTGCAACCTATTTTGCTGGGTTTTTTTTTGTGTTGAGAGCGGCGCGCTCGTGGTGTCCAGTTACTATATTCGCGCTGGTGCGAAGCTGGCAGCGTTGCCGTCTGGAAAAGCGGAACGAAACGTCGCTATTGTGTTCTGCTCTCGGCACGGAGCAGCAAAGCGGTGGCCTGAGAAAGCTGGCGTATCGATTCACTTCTTTCGTTTCCTGATTTTCAAACGGAAATGTCGTTACCACTTATGTAGGATCACGAGGATGACTGCATTGGCTACCCACTCAAGATATGATCTTGCAGGTGGGGTGTTGAAACCTCTCGTTTGAGCTCAGTGGGCACCGACAGATATTCGCTAACGTTTGTGTTTTGCTGCCCCCCCCCTCGGTGTTTGCCATTGGGATTGGGTTTTCGTCGCTTGGCAACGACGTTGTAAAACAAGCCGCCCCCCCGGTGTTTGCCATCGGGGTTGGGTTTTCGTCGCTTGGCAACGACGTTGTAAAACAAGCCGCCCCCCCCGGTGTTTGCCATCTGGATTGGGTTTTCGTCGCTTGGCAACGACGTTGTAAAACAAGCCGCCCCCCCCGGTGTTTGCCATCGGGATTGGGTTTTCGTCGCTTGGCAACGACGTTGTAAAACAAGCCAATTCACTTCGTGAACTCGGCAACCAGGTTACCGTTTTTTTTTTTTTCCTCCGTTTTTTTTTTTTGGCGGTAACCATAATGGTGGTCGAGTAGATCATGTTGTGCGGGGTGGAGAACCCTCACTCCGCGCAAGGGGGAGATCGCACCACGTTAGTGTTAAAATGGTCAAGCACCCTCGAGGCAGTTACACAGTGCTTACAACTGTCTCTGGAAGTGAA